GATTTCCCAGCAATGCTTGTCCTGCTCTGAAACTTACCAGGAGGTCTCTCTATTGCTTGGATGTGGTTTGAGCTCTCTAAGTTTATCTCTTATCTACAGCTTTCCTCTCTCAGCTACAGCTCAGAAAAGATTCAATTGATACAGGCAAGTTTAATTACAAATTACAGCAGCATCACAAACTTGGAATGAAATAATCTCTTGCAATTTGGAGAAGGTGCCAATCATTTTTACCAGTCTATCTTTGAGTTTTGCATGGAATGTATCAGGTTTGACTTTTTTCTCCACTTTTTTGTGTTATACCAAAACAAACAAAAGCAATAAACATGAGAATGCCTAAACAGTTGTAATTGCAACAGTTTTCTGCGGGAAATGGTGCATTATCTGACAGAAATGCAGAGGTGTGTCAATATTTATGGCCATGACTGTATGTCTAGGCTGTGGGGTAGGATGGCAAGACAGAAGCCTTTTCTTACAAAGAAACTCATCCAAGCCTGGCTATATTTTGCAAAAACCTACATAAAGTCTCACAAAAGCACGTAGGAAAATGTGTTATGGTCTGATAAGACCAAGATTGAACATGTTGCCGTAATTCTAAAAAGTATGTTTGACGCATAAACAACAATGCACATTACCAAAAGAACACCATACCCACAGTGAAGCATGGTAGTGGCAACATTATGCTGTGGGGATGTTTTTCTTCACCTGGAACTTGGGCTTTAGTCGAGGTGGAGGGACTTGTACGTGGTTCCAATTATCAGTCAATTTTGGCACGAAACCTTCAGGCTAAAAAGCTGAAGGTGAGGAGGAATTTCAAAATTCAGTATGCCAAAGCATGTCTCTAAATCAACAAAAGAATGGCTTCACCTGAAGTAGATCTAAGTTTTGGAATGGCTCAGCTGGACCGGAAAACACTTGAAAATATGTGGGGTGACATGAAAAGGGCTGTGCACAGGAAGTGCCCTAGCAATCTGACAGATTTGGAGCCCTTTTGCAGGGAAGAGTGGGCAAAGAGTCCCATGGCAAGATGTGCCATTCTGATAAGAGTCTTACCCCAAAAGACTGAATGCATGTTTTTAATTGAATTGCAGATTATAGCTCGCATTAAAGGTGGAAATAAAAACTGAAGTGATTTATCTTGGTCTGATTTTTTTTTTTACATCTGAAAAACCTGGTATTTTTATAGTGGTTTGTAGACTTTTTTATCCACTGTATATGTGAAGAAAGCAAAGATAGTATAGGATAACAAGTCCCAACTTGTACGTTTTAAAATTAAGCAAGATCTGTATGAGCAAGTGCATTGCATTCATTAAAAATTATTAAGTTGTTTAAAAAAACATATTGTACCTCTTAGGACCTCCAACCCCTCGCCTGGCAGTGCTTAATACTTGGCTATACCTCAAACAAGCATTTTACAGGCTACAGCATCCACTTAGCTTTCCTGCTTCCTGTCTGCCTGCCTGCTCACTGGATAATTAATCTGCTGTGTAATGATGCTGATTTATAGTTGAGTGAACAGCAGTTGTATGTATCAAAAACTGGCTAAACAGAATTGTAGATGGGGCATTCTAGTACAACAGCCATTGGTCTAATTTTTCACTGTACCTTGCTCCTAAGCTGGGAAAAAAACATTGTTTTCTTCCCCGTGTCCTCATGATTTCCATTCATAAATGACTCAGTCTGGGGAGGTGAGATCTTTAGGGTGAGCTGAGTCACATCCTGTGCCATGCTACTACATCTCCCAAGAACCCTTTGCCTACACACAAACAGTGCGTGGGCAGGCATTTGGGAGCAGAAAAAGAGTACTGGGCGGGTGGTAGAAGTGACCCCTGTTATTGCTGTAGCCTCATTTCTCTACTACAGGGTCCCTGAATGCTGTCATGGTGATGGCTCTGTCCATCTGCTCAGCATACCTCAGAACTCCAAGTTGCCAAGGTGCTGCAACTATGTGCAACAATTTGTTTGACCAAAGTTGGATTTCTGCTTTTATTGTTATACAGTCCTTTTATGTATTTATCACTAACAGACTTGTAATGAAGGATGCATAGTTTATGGTTGCTGTATGTAATGTTCCTCAGGCGAGTGTTTATGAGATAAAAGTGCCCATAGCCTGACAGATACAGTACCTCTATGACATGTGTTGTGACTAGTCCAACAAGTGAAAGTACACATGCTCTTTACCATTGTGTCCCCTCTTTTCTATGAGAATAGTTTGTTAGTGTCAAACAGATACTTTCCAACTAATTGAAAAGTCTCTGTAGGGGGAATATCCTTTTGGTGATAGAAACCTCTGTTAGTGCTCATTTGAGTAGCCCTAGATCCTACCCCAAGCATTATATATTGCAATCCAATTGGGCACAGTCTGATAATTAATGGCCAACAGAAGATTAAAAATGTTGCCTCTGTAAATTATCTCCAAAACCTCCACATACAGTATTTGGAATGCATTCCTGTCTACAAGGATATTTTCTGCTCCATAAATCAGTTAATACATTATATTTACTTTTTTTTCTTCTATTTACATGAGCTAGATTTTGCTTTGAAACAATTGAAAGCTTTGATATTTAAGATTACTGATCTCTTAATATAAATTCATTTGACACAAGGTTGTCTTTTTTTCCTGCTGATTATAAACATAGGCATCTCCTGGGGTTTGCATAGATGGTAATATTTGCAGAAAATTAATTTTACAAGGTAGTGCACTGCTAGTCCTGTACTTTATGATACAGTGGATAGCAGGCTCTACTGGGATGCTGATCTTTGTGTTCTGCCAATCTTTTATCAGAACCTTTAATTTTCCTCTAGCCTACTGAGAGACGACAAGAGCCAGTCACATCCACCATCACTTCAATCTACAAAATAATACAGCCTGCCATAAAAACTAATGTGTGTTTTTAATAATCCTTAATTTGGGCATCTTTGTGAGTAATCAAAATCAATTTCTAGGAAGCTATGTGTTTCCTGGGACCAGTTTTCCACTGTGTCCTGGCTCATAGTTTTTTATTTTTTTTCTTAGGAAATGCGGACATAAATTATTTTTAATAGGCAATAATTTCTTTAAGAATAGATCATACTACTCACAATGATTAATGCCTGGTATGTCATATTAAATATAAGTGCAGCATTTTCCCTTCCCTTTGTAGTATAGTTTTTGACAGTGAAACAGTCAAAGTTACACTGGCCCTTAAAAAAAAAAGAGTGTTGCAACAAATTAGATGCTTATTCTCTAATTTTCTCTTCTGTACTAGAAGAAATATCAAGTGGAAATAGAGTGCTAAGAATGCTTATTTTTACAGGCAATTTGTATTCATGAGGACAGATATTCAGTACCAAGTACAAGTAGGGAAACTTCCAGCAGTATTTTTTTGGGATATAGATGCAGACAACCCTCTCCAAAGGGATGAAGGTTTTCTTTTTAAATGCTGTTTTGCATGTTTAGCCTTTACATAATTGCCCCACATTTTAAAGACTTTTTTGGATTTAGTTCTCTTTTGGGTCCTTAGTTTAGTGTCACTTCCAGGGTGGGTTCGTACTGCTTTAAAAGTATATGTGTGCTTTCAGATTTTATGTATTGTAATTTACTCTGCGCTTTTTGTGTTCTAGTTTGGTTTTTAACCTCCTGCCGTCTGCCCGTTAAGAAAAAACGGATGGAGGGCGGACTCGCATCAGCGGGTTGCCGTCTCCAGACGGCATTTTTTTCCTGCTCGCGTGCGTCCCCTAGCGCACGGGCAGGAAAGACACGTCCATATTGGCACACAGGCTGATTGAAGTTTGTAAACTGATGTATCCTTGAACTACTCATTTATGCTTCTAATCGATCTACCATTGTGAATACCTTTGCACTCTATTTTGCTATTTTTAAACAATAAAGAACCATCTGCACTAGGGTGGGCGCCCTTCTCTTTCTTTTTGTCTTCCAGTTATACAGTTCCCTAGGCTGTATAATAATGGCTTATAATTAATCGAAATTAATCGATTTAACATTTTTTTGATTTATCGAACACAAAAATTGTAATCATTACCAGCCCTAAAAAAAGATCATTGTACTTATTGTAAAATTTGTTTCTTGAGGTTCATTGAGGAACACAGGTCCCACCCCTTTGAAGGAAAGTCATTTTACTTCCTTGAGGTTAATGTGCATGGTCACATGTCCTAGTCACATATGCCAGAGTTCCAGGAAGTAAATTGAGATATAGTAATCTGCCCTTAGTAAAAATGGCCACTGTGAGAAGAATAGGGGGGGAAATAAAAGTAAGGTACGCAAAGAATAAAAGGCCTGCAATTATTTACAAGTGTCTGTTTGTAGATTGTCATTACTAAAAATGTCTAAATGTGTTTTTGTTGTCATTTCAAAGATCTGGGTAAAGTTCCTCTTTAAGATCTACTGCTAAAACTTATTTTCTAGAAACTGAAGCATCACGGGGGTGGGATGGGTGACTGGCCAATTACTTTTTTGTCGGTGTCCAATTCCTTCTGTTGGCGGCAATATAACCCAATTTTATCAGAATAACTGAATCCTATGTCCCTTAATAAATTTCAAAAAACTGATTTTACAATAAGTACACAAATCCTGTTTTTGTAACACAGGGTAACAGGTACTCATTGGGGAACATTTAATTAAGACTAATATTTGTTGCAGTAAAATACTTGCTAGCTAAACTGTGTCTTACTAAAACTGGCACCTACAGAAGACTGTATTTGTGGGATCCTGTATTAACTTTATATATCTTTTAGGGACAATATATACATTTCTACTTCAATTGCAGAATTTTAAGTTACGAACAAAAATGTAAAAAAATACACCTTACTAATGTCTGAGTAGCCAATTCAGAGTCTACAAGCAAAATAAAAACAATGGTACATTCAGCAAACTGACACACAGATCTAAAATATCAGTTTTTGGTGGCCTAACCTTTAGTGTATTGACAGTACTGTGGGGTCTATTGTTTTAATAAGCTTTATCATCTTTCACTGGTTCCTTAATGTTTTTTTTTCTCTTTAAGCACTGACCAGCTGGGCATGTTTGGGAAAAAGGAGTTTGATCTGTTGGCTCCATATGTGGACAGCTTCAGCCTAATGACCTATGACTACTCAAATCCAAACAGGTAAGGTCTACATAGATTTAACACTGCCCATATATATTAGGGATGCACCGATACCGATAATAGTATCGGTAATGGTGCCAATACCGAGTATTTGGGCAAGTACTCCTACTCGCCCAAATGCTCCCGATAATTATCCTGATACCAGAACTTCCAGTATCAGGAAGCCGGGCGGCGAGTCATTAAACGACGCCCGGCTTCCTGATTGGCCGGGTAGCCTGCTCCATTCCCTCGCGTCACCAGGGAGCATGGAGCTGGTTTCTCGACCAATCAGGAAGCCAGGTGGCGTGCAATGGCTCACCCCCTGGCTTTCTGATTGGCCAGAAAGCTGGCTCCATGCTTTCTCGTCACCTGGTAACAAGGGGGCACAGAAACGGCTTCCCGGATAATCAAGAAACCAAGCGGCAAGTCATTACACGCCGCCTGGCTTCCTTAATTGGACTTCCAGTATCGGTATTTGTTATCAGCGAGTACCAAAAGAAAAAAATCAGTACTCGTACTCGATACCGAAAAACCGGTATCATCTTTGTGCATCCCTAATATATATGCAGATCTTTAACAACATTTGCTTCAGTCCTACCGTTTAAAAGTCTGTCCCTGTTTTAAAACAAAAAGGTAATTGATCATTTTCACTTCAGTAGCAGAGTAAAAGCTTTTTAACACAGCATTCTATGACATATATATATAT